TACCATAGAGGTAATCATATCACATCATATACTTTTACACAACACACAATACTCAGGAAGAGCATTGTAATATGCATCATTTGAAAAGTGTATATCGATAATACTGTGCAGTCCTAGTTTTATACAGGTAAAATCAAATGCAAATATTCCAATAGAAGATAGTATAGGAATTCGGTCTCTTTCTATGACCTCTCTGATTACCTTCCATGCCATAAAATATTACAATACACTTTAACTACAGATAAATCAAAGTTGCTCAAGGATGCTTACCAGTATCTGTCATAATGTTTGAAGACATTTTTAACATGTTTCCTGTTATTGCAAAATATGTGATTGCTGTTAAGAGTTCCAATGGCCACCTCAAGCTAGAGAAACATGAAACGTTCAGTAGGACCGTTTGACAACTGTTGACCACATGACACTGTACAGTGACAGGAAGAGAGGCATGGCGGAACCACATGTTCATCACATGGAGGAACACCACAAAGTCAGCCCAAGATTGTAGGGCATATCATGACTAACAACTAGACTCTGAAATGTACATATTTTACAGAAAAAACTGTTCATAATAAAAAAATATATATATTGAAAAGGAGCCCTGAGACATTCTTCATTTTGACTGAAACTGTGGAAATCAAGATTTGCCACATATTCTAGACTTGCATCATGTGCATTGTCTTTCTTGGATATATTTGGGCGGTGGGGTAGCCTAGTGGTTAAAGCGTTGGCTCATCACGCCGAAGACCCGGGTTCGATTCCCCACATGGGCACAATGTGTTAAGCCCATTTCTGGTGTCCCCCGCCGTGATATTGCTGGAATATTGCTAAAAGCGGTGTAAAAACTAAACTCAGTCAGTCAGTCAGTCTTGGATATATTTGTTTCAGGGTCTGTATGACAGACTAATCATGACATATCATTCGAAGATTCAGAAAGGACATTTACAATGCACACATTTCTGCGAGAATGTTGATGAATGGATGATTTTGTAAGATTGTTAAGGGTATTAAACCCATCCAACAAGGGCCTCCACAATAGACTTACACTTGATGTCGTCCTGTCTACACTGAAAGTTATCAACTTCTAACATTTCGATGACAACGGGATACTGATCATATTAACAAGTGTGGGGTCCTGTGCACTTGTTTGTACCAGATGTTGTATCAAGGTTAAAGATGGAGAAACCCAATAGTGACAACTGGGCAAAGCAGGTTTACAAAATGTTTAAATATTGTAAGTTTAGCATAACAAAGATATTAAATCGAAATTCAACATTTTGCTTAGACAGAAAAACCTTTTGAACTTGTTCATGACTAGCCAGTGTAGTCACATCTTAAAGTTCATCTGATAAGCTTCTGATTCAGACACGGCATCCATCACAGTTATAGTACGAGTATGATGATACACAAGAATTAATGTGTTCATCATGTACATGATTGTGTACTTTGACAACCTTTTCACCACACTTGGACACAGCATAAACAGTTACATAACATAAACAGCCCAAGGCTGAACTTAAAATGACAATCAACTTTGAATTATGATCTCATATCACTTAAAACAGTAACCGGACTTATTTAGGAATATGCATCAGTACAAAAATGGGTACAAATTCATACAAATTCATACTGATTTGTATGGCTGGCTAAAAAGAGTGGTAATTGGACATATCCGTAATGGGAAAAAATGAAACAGTTCTAATTTATGTTGACAATCCTGTTTTCATTTCTAATCCATGAGCTGATGAGATGTAAAATATGTAGATTTCTTTGAGACTTTTTCATTTTTTATCTGATATTCATAGAAAATCAATCAATACTTAGTTAAGGATTATGATCTCTATCAATAACAAGCCATACTATTTTGATTACAAGTGATGGTGCGAGTTTTGCTTAACACCACTTTCAGCACTATCCCAGCAGGGAGCACCAGAAATGGTGTCAACCCTTGACTGACTAGGATATATATATGAATCTATATAGAAATGTCATATCACAATATACAATAGAGAACTTGTCATCCGTAAAATATCTTGCTTTTATTATCAGGTTAGGTTAGGTTTAGGGGCCCTGAACCCATTACCTGAAGAATGATAATAATAATAATAACAATAATGTCCATTTATATAGCGCCAAACTCCACACTAGGTATGCTCATAGCGCTAACAATCAAGGCACAGCATATTATTACCCCGGATAACCCAAGTTGCCTAATGGGCCTATTTCAAAAATTCCTGAGACCAGGACATATTGTTCAAACAAAGGGTTATGTGTTTTTATGTGGGTCAGTGACCAAGTCTTGTAACGAAAGTAACATAAACAGTTAAGTTTGTAAACAATGTAACTTTGAATCTCAACTCTGTAAACAATGCAACATTAATATTCATCTAATTATGCTACATTTTTGAATATATCACCAATCCTATTAGGGAAAGTCAATGCACGTATAACTAGAGCATGTGTTTGGGCATGGTTAGCTTCAGGGCATGGAAAGTCTGCCTACAATGGTTCAATGTCACTGACTTAACACAGGTGGCCATAGATCATTGTCACAACAGGCAAGAAGTATCACTGTTACCTGTCCTGGCCACATACTTGGCCAACTGACAACACTGTCAACATTAGTTGTGTGGTTCGGACCAAAATACTTACTTAATCAAATTTTCAAAAGACTAACACTACAACAGGGATTTACCTGCGGTCCTGTATTTGAGGGTCCTTGGGACTCATACTCTTAATTTTCTGGGGTCCTGGACTACAATATGGGGGTCACTTAACACTTAAATATTATAATTAATACTATTATTGTATTGTGTATCATGATCATCACATTTTTACAGTAATTCAATTGCAAATGATACCATAACCCAGCTAGTAGCAAACTCAGTAATGACTTATTGTTACTTGATTGGAATTTTTACAAAAAGTATTTAGACTTTTTCTGGGTCCCTGTGGATGCGCTAATAAATTTCGTTGCGTCCATTGTCAATTTTTATGAGTATAGGACACAGGAATATGCATCCTGTAAATCCCTGCTACAATATGATAGTTTCAATAACATGTAGCATTTCTGATTGTAGTTTTCCAAAAAATGAAAATGTTCAAAATATTTAACAGAATAAAAATTCATTAAAATTTACCGGTCACACACAAAAATTACCCCATCCCCTAAACATGAAAATAAATCTGCAGAGTATGTCCTGTCACAGGAGACACGATTACGCAGGTAACAGGCTTGACACAAGACAAAATGCCCATGTGGGTCTAAGGATAGACTTATCAGTAAGTTGATGGGGATGTAGTTTTTTTTAACACATTTGCTGCATCTGACGTTAGTTTCTAGGTGTGTCCGTGTGGGCACCTTAGTTGATGGGCAACATCAACACATGGGTTGACATGGCACACCAGTACAAAGCTCTAAGATGGTCGATGCTGCTCAAATAGAGGCCGTTTACTCAAGGATGGTGTTTATTCACCCTCCGAAAATCAGGGAGTAGGTGATTTAAGTCACTTTTATTTCACATGATCTAAACAAATCAACCATCATGTGAAAACTCTGATGCTCAACTGTTTCAGAGCTCAGAAAAACATTCACCAAAAGAAAAGTTCAAAGGAGTAATGTTATTTTGTAAATATATGAAACTAAAGCTAACTGTTTTGTATCTTTGGACTGTACTAATGTATAATTCAGTGGTGTATTATCATGAAGGAAGAAAAATTAATCTATCCACAAAAAGTTTCACGTTTTCAAATTTATCCTAAATCATACACTAAGTGTCCTTGGTAGGCAAGTCAGCAGAAACATTTTTAAAAAGTTCTTAGTTTTGGAAATTCATATTTACTTTAATATTATATTTGTCACTGCATTCATGTTTTTCAATATAAAAATTTTGTTTCTGATATTTGCAGCAGTTCTTGGTCAAACATCTGTCCCTGAGCACACTTACATACCACCTAAAGTACTGACTGATGCAACTTATGAAATGGTATCATCAGACTAAACCGTACCCAGATAGAAATGGTCTCAAAGAAAATATTCTTGCAACAGATGGCATGAGACTACTTTGCACAGATGGTACCGTCTGCTACAGAAACACTATTTCTTGTGTACTGACGTGAAAGCAAGACATATACAAGTCACGTTAGTCTATGCATCAATTGTGAATAAACTGAATCAAAGTGAATATCCATAATTTAAACAATAACTTAAGCTAAACGTGGGATTTCTGACTTGCTCACTAAGTATGCAACATTCCAAAAGATGCATACCAACATAGCACATAATCTTTTTCTGTAAAGGACTTCATATGGTATTTACTGTTTCAATTTATCTTCAAATGAGAAAGGATTTCACAACATAAAGTGTTACAAGTAATTAGGCTACTTACATTTAAGTTCACAGAAATCTACTAATGAATAGTCTCTTATTAACTGAGATGAGAATGGAAATATGCAGTGTAGCTAACAGAAAAAATAATGAGAGGTTGACATGAATCTTTATAACATTACTCAACTCAGACACCAGCACAATCATTATGACAACTTCCAGGTCTATGAAGCTGTCATTGAAAATAGCTCAATTATAGTAATGCTGGTGAAGAGATTGTTATCACATTATTTAGTTTAATGCACATTTGTTAGATATAGATAACTGTGGATATATAAAAATATAACTGAAAACAGAACGAAACAAACAATATCAATATAGGTACATCAGAAAAACGAAAAAAGATCATGATCAGTGAATGCATGTGTTTTTTTCGTGCTGATATTACTCGCTGCCAAAAGATGGGGACAAAACGTGATAGCTGTAGCAAACAAACAAGGTTGCCCGGCCCATTCGGTAATAATTCACCACTAGCTAAGAGAGACCTGAATCTCCTGTCATCGGGAACACGTTTTGAGCACGAAATCAACATAACACCGTCAACATACAATACGTGTTGTCGCTTGCTAACAGTAACTCTGTTCGTGGATATACAATATTTTCTTTGAGTACTTACCACACATATTTAAGAATGTCTCTGAATCTCGACACACACTAAATAAAACGTCGTACGACCCTCACAATCGTCTGTCAATATCTGTGCCACGTTTCGGAGAACGGTATTTATAAGGCACCTGTGACCTTACGTTTACATCCGGGTTAAAATAAATTTTCAGCGGGGGCAAAGTGGGTTGTGGTTTCCTTTGATATTTTAAGAATGACACTCCATATCTGATGTTCCGATCAAGCACCCATTAAAAACAGCTCTTTGCAGTCACTACAAGTTGAATTTGAAACGATGCCAGTTTGAACCTTCGTTGTTGTTATGAAATAACGAATGTTTGTTCTGCCGGTCGAGACAACCGGAAGTTGATAGGGATGATGGGATACGTAAACATATGCTTGCTTGTCGGCGTTTGTGGGGTTTAGGAAGCCACTCTACTAACATCAGCAAATTGCGACTATTTCTGCAAGCAACAATAATGAGTAAACGAAAAGGACCTGAATCGGGAAACCTTAATGCTGAATTTTCGGACTTTTTAATGGGTAATTTAAAATATTTATTGTGGACATGTTCCAGTTTACTTGGCCAAGGAACGATCGACCGGGCTAGATTTTGTAAACAAAGATCATTCCTGTCACCGTAGATTAGGGTAATACCGAACCAGTAGTTTCCATCAAAACCAACGATCTTACTGTTACAGACGAAAACCTTAATAAAATTCGGGTATCATTTCAGTAGTGTAGGTCTTGATTAATGGTTATATATATCCACTTTCTTTTGTACGTAACTTTGCAACTTTCAACTACCCTCATTGTTAAATTGATCAGTAACAGTCATTCACCGCCACATCATCGGACCACATGCTTACTATTCTTGGCTAAGATAGGGTGTCAGATAACCAAGTGATTACTGACAGTCATATATCAATATTTAAAGTATATATGATTTGATTTGTAGTCTAGTGTAGGTAGCAACTTATTCACTGTACGTGTCTGAAAGCTGCCAACACCCCAAAGATTTTATCATGCCCTAAAACATTTAATTTCATAAAGATGAAATTGTGAAAATGCTACTAAAAGGCTTCTTTGAAATCACATTGCCTCAGAAAATGAGGATGCTCAAACTGTGATATGACACACTTCCCCACCCAGATTTATAGGCATTTGTCAAGTACCTGGGTTACCCAGGTTTCATTGCCTGTGGTTGAACAGTATTGTTGACCATAAATGTCCAGGAATGCAACTTAACACAGACTGTCAAGTATCGTCATAAAATAAGGACACATTTTCAAAAACCTGAAATTCTGCTTATATCAGGATAACAGTAATATTAATAATTGATAAGATAATGTGTCTTCTTCTAATGCAACTGACTCCATACAGAAGATGCGAACATTCCAGTCAGTGGATCAGTGTGCATGCTCAACTCCAACATTATCAAGACCCAAACTGGAGCTAGCAGACTAGAAACAAGATTCAATTTACCTATTGTTAAAATCTTGAAGAGTGTTTGAGACAAGTTTGAGATTAATTCCCTGTTTCTTTTATGTAAACTTATTTGGGATATTCTAGAGGTGCTCAGAAGTCGATATTGGATCCAAATTGTCTGTAAATGTTCCCATTAGATATATAGATTTGCCAACTTATGTTAAAAGTAACAACTTATGTTATGGCTTCTATTTCACAGTCCCAACTTATAATATATAACCATTTTTTGTCTGGCAGGGTCACTTATTTTGGAATCTTTGATAAGTCCATGATCAGTTGATTACTGCTATTTAGCCTAAGTCAGTCTTGTAGGAGTTTATTTGGGCTTCTGTACATTGTCAGCAAGAAGTAAGACATGAACATGTGGTATTGAGGAGACGCAGTTTCCTCCTACTCACAGTACATGCTGAGTTATATGTGGCATTCATATCATCATGATTATAAACATTTCATTTTGATATTTACGACAGATGGGATGTTTTTTTGCCAGGTTTAAGTATAAGAGTTAAAGACAATAGATTTATTGGTCAGGTAGGTTTTGCTTTGACTGGCTTGAAGGATTATGGGAGTTCACAGGATAGGTGCAAATAAGAATTGAGGTGAAATTGTGTGTGGATATTTAGGTGAATTACATTTTCACAAGCTGATATAAACTGGATATAAACTAGTATCTTTTAATATGTACAAGCTTGTTGCCATGGAAAATGTTGTTTGTCCTTCATTAAAACACCAGTGTTTTGATTTATTTGATGAATTGTTGTAATTAACAAATATTTCAATATGGTTTTTTAACTTAGCACTGAGATTAGCACTGCAGTGACAAATGACTGTAATTTCTGTACATATGGATATATTTGATTCGGATGAATGCAATGAACATCATGAATATGGTGATCTTCAGCCTGATTGTCTGATTTTCAAATGGTAATATCTAAGTGAAATAAATGTTTTTGGTTCCTGTGTCGTCTATGAAAAACAATAAATGAATATTTAGAGACATCAGTCATTATCAGACATCAGTATAATCATATGTTACACAGACGAACCATTTGTGTGTTGTTGTTGTTTTAGATTTTCCTCAGTTCCAGAATACTTAATTGTAAATGTTTCCATCTCAGCATTTGATTGGAAATTTGACAATGATTCCAGTGAACCTTTTATTGATTTCTTGTGATAAAAATATATTACATTATTTTAAACCTCATATTGATAATTTGTGAAAGGTCTCAGTACACAAGTTCAACAGAAGTATAGTTGTAGAATCCATTGAAATGAAATAACTCATTGATTGTGGTTAAGTATGACCCATATGTACGTACAAATGTACCTTAGTACATGTATAAATAACTTTCAGGTTGACCCACTACTAAACACAAGCACTACGTTGGTAAGCTGTTAATAACACCCTACACAATTTATTGCAACCCTTCCCATTACTTCTACAAGCCAGGTAGCTGCAAAGACATTTCAGGAAGTTGTGGCCCCCACATATGTTATCTTGTGTGACCCTGTACAGGCGGTGTGACGTACATGTGTATGTATAGATTACCCTGGTGGGGTTATACACCTGGTTGAGCACAGTCCCTCCTTGCAAGACACTCAGCCAATGGCAGCGTCTTCAAGACCTACCCTCTTCCGGGAACAGGTCTTCACAGAAATAACATTTGTCATGGTATTTTTACCATCAGTTGTATGAACTTTGTATGAAGGCTTGAATATGTTAAGTGTGTCCTGTTAATGAAAGTATGAATATAGTACAATATTAGGAAAACAGTGAGCTGTAATTCATTTTCTAGTGTTTATAGTTTCTTGTCATTTAACTCCATTTTCAGTTGATCATATATTACCATCAGCATGGCAAGGGCCCTGGTTTGGAATCAAAGATCTGTTATTGTATATACTATTTACCTGTACTTCAAAGGCCTCTGGATGACAACATATATGTTGAAAGGATAAGTAGTTTTTGAATTGTAATACATCATGGTATATATTTGTATTCTATATTACCAACAAAGTCCAGTTTCTTGATCGCATTGATAGTTTTGGTTTTTTTAATATATATTCTTGTGTTAGAAAGTTTCAACATGAAAAGTTTTCCTAAGTATATCCTGTATATGAAAAATATTTATGAGCCATGGTTGCACAAATAGTATATCACTCTTACAATATAACCCAAAAGCAATGATCAAGACTGTACACCAAATTAGGAGTGGTAGTTGTTCCTGGAAAATACCCAATTTATACCCAAGGTATCAGTCTTGTGTGGAATATCCCAGATATTAGGGCTGGGACGGGTAAGCCAGGTATCCGGGAAGGATGGGTAATGAGTTGGACCCAGGTACCCGTTTCAGTACCCGGACCAGGTATGATCATGTGACTAATAGATTAAACAATGTAATGTGTTACTCTTTCATGATTAAAAGGTTGTATTGTCTTTGAAGATTTAGACATAATTATGCAGTCACCTGTTTTGAATATAACACATGGTTAAGATATTGAAAAACTCGAAATTGTAGCCTCCAAGCTGAAAAATATATTGCCATTTCTTGCCAATTTGATGTCAGGAATAAACATAACGGGTATTCAGGTAGGTTAGGGTAATAGAGGGTGGGGTACCCGGGTAGAAAATTTGGACCCACCCCAGCCCTAACAGATATGATGACAACGTGTGAATAATTGTATCAGTGATTAGATAAACCAAGGATTCATATCATGAGCTACAGGTCTGATGCTGACTACCTGAATGTTAGGGTTAAGCTTCTCCTACGACAGGCACACGCGACTGGGGACATATGTATCTTGAAATCCCCACAAACTTTTGTACCCAGCACTTGGCACATGGCCTACACATTCTAGGATGTGCATTCTAAATGCTTTGCAAACAAGTTTTTGCATCCAGCTTAATGTTTGGACCTTTAGGTTCATGTCTCTACGAGCAGCAGCTATCATTAACTTACACCAGTGAACCGAGGCAGCTATGAGCATGATTAGTGCTATTGTTAGGCCAGGTTTTTAAAAACTGATAATATGTTTCTAAAACTGAACACAGACTTGCTGCAGGTGTGGAGTGTTATGATGACAATGATGAATGTTCCTGTTTGTTTGTAATGCTGAATCATATAAAATCATAGAGTCCTTGCTAACTGAGATTTATGCTATTATATCATTGTGTCTTCTGGATAGTTACAAAATGCATGGCATGTAATATTTGTATCACAAATGGAAGCAATGTATTAAGTTTGATGGCATTTCATTTCAATCACATTGATTACCTGTCATGCTCACATCACTTATAATATCCATGTGACCTTGACACCTGAAACTCTTCATATGATATATATTGCATAGTGTAGTACAGAACAACAAACATAGCACTACACTGTTACATTGGTAAGATGGAATTCAAATAATCATGTTCATGTCTTAGTACATTAGTTTCATGGGCGGTGGGATAGCCTAGTGGTCAAAACGTCCGCTCGTCACACCAAAGACCCAGGTTCGATTCCCCACATGGCTACAGTGTGTGAAGCCCATTTGTGGTGTCCCCCCGCCATGATATTGCTAGAATATTGCTCAAAAGCGGCATAAAACTAAACTAACTCACATAAGTTTCATCAATTCAGGCATCAGGCATCTGTGAGTCAACCAAGCAACATCAACAAGAGGGTATAAACTAAGTATACTCTGTTGTGGCAAACTACTTAAGATAGGATATTATTGGTCTGAAATTCCTCTGTTTGACCAAGATTAGTATAAAGAAAATATCTTTGTATATCAATACTACCACACCATAATCTAAATTTACTTTCTTCTGTTCTTGCTTATTGATGTGTAAAATGATGTTTTAAAAACAGGTTTGCCAGTTACATAATATGCAGCCTGCGACTTCAACCAGCTTGAATCTCATTAAATTCTGTTTGGTCTAGTATTTAGCTCGGCTAATAACACCCTACATTGTAACACAAAATAGTTCTGTAAAAGATGCTAACAGCCAAAATTGGACTTAATGACCCCTTAGGTTTGTATAGGTTATAGAAAAAGTGAAATTTCATATGCAATAGTATTTTGTTGTATTCAACGGCCACAATTAATTTGCTTATGAGACTATTATGACACTGCAAAACGGCATGTCAGTTGATCACAAAATCATGACATTGCCTGTGCATTTCCTAGCCACACTAATGAGTCATGGTGAGCTGGATTTAAGCATGTAGTCTTTCCCCATCAGTAGACAATTTTGAGTAATGTGATATGCCTTCAACAAGTTCATGTCTGGCACAATTGACTTCATGAACACAGTTTTTTGTCCTTTGTTATCATGTTAATCACTAACTTGAATGATAAGGCAGATATAACTTGCTATCTTGCTTCCTAGTCATTGTGAGTAAGATCTCCACGAGGGCCCTTAGCCTGTTGATTTGTTTGTTGATAGCATGTACTTAGGCAGTCAAAATTGAAACAAGATAACATTATCAAAATGTGACCTTCAGTTTTAGATAAATAATTATTTGAAACTTTGAATACTGTTGTCTCACATCTAGATCACATGTATTGGTGCTGGCTGCTTGGTGGGGTTAATTAACCTGAACCCTGCCCCAAACCCCCGGTGGTGGGATAATGATATTTATTTGACTAATCATAGTAAGAAAACTAGTTATATGGAGAATACTGAACATTGTCCCGTGTTATACCATATTTATGAAACGAGTGAATAATACCATTCATGAGATTCAGTGATATGGTATTACACAGGATATCATTTAGTATTTTATTTATTACTCACCCAACATTAGAAAAATAATATCTCAGAATTCAACTTACATAATGAGTGCATTATGCCATCATAACGGGCGTCACACGTATGATTACATTTCTTTTATGATTGTCAATATTAGTCTATTTAAGTTGATTTGTTTTTAAATATACAAGGGGGTATGAAAAAGGGACCAAATGATTTCAACCAACATATTATTATATATTATACTTATACAACTGCCAAGTTGGCATCTATACAGTTTGTTAGATCTTAGAGTAAACTTCATTATGTTCAGTCCAACAAGCTTGAAACAATTCTTGGTATATCAGTACAACCTGTACTGATTGTTGTATCATAATCCTTCTGCTAATTTTTTAGTGTAGTAAAAATATGTAAGCCATATAAAGATGTGTGCACAGTTGTGGCCTTGTACCCTCATGTAGGATATCAAATGATTTGGATCAATATTACAGCCTTGTATTGAGAAGACCAGTATCATGTTGCAGTGGGGTGTTTCAGTATCATCATCCCCAGTGTTTAATGCTCCTGACCTTCTCCATTCTTTCAGAACTTGCTAACTATGAGAAGAATGTGAACCGAGCCATGCACAAGTACAATGCATACCGGAAGGCAGCAGGTGCCATTGCAAAACATACTTCAAGGATAACAAGTGGAGCTGAGGCCAAGAAACTGGTAGGTGCTCATGATTGTCTGGTTCAGACTTTATAATTACAGAATGCTATCATATAGCAGGAATATTGCTGAGTGCAGCATTAAATTACAAACATGAATATTGATTTAAAGATCATCTTTCTCATGTATATGTGAAAAAAGTCAATAAATTGATGCTTCTATTCTTTTGCTACAAGTAACCATGATTTAAGCTATGCACTTTAGGGCTCTCACGAGTCCAAAATTTGGGTCTCGAGTACTCGAGGTGTCAGACCCGACTCGGACCCGAGTACCCGACAATTTGGGTGCATATCTGAAACCAACATTCAAGCATACACGTCGCTGTTCCAACTTCCAATCTACGAATAATGCAACATGTATATGTGAATCCAAACGTTCCTGAATAAAGCAATTGATATACAATGTCAATGGAAGTATCTATTACCTTTTTATTTGCAAACAGAATGTGAAGGCAACGTAAGTGTCACTGTGACCCAGTTCTACGCGATCAATTATGTGATTAATATTCATGAGCTGGGCCCGCGATACCTTATTACGCCTGTAAATGCTGTAATATGATTGGATGTGTCCGGGAAAAGAAACCAATCAATCTACTTCTCTTTTCTTTTGGTTTTAAGTTTGACCGCTTTCAAGATTATCTAATATTAATATGTCGTTGCAGTTATGACATATTAGCAACTTTTAAACATTCACCTGGACGATAAGTCACATAATCAATTAACCTTAATCACGGTTAAAAAATGCGGCAAAACAGGTTCCAAAGCTGGAAGATACATAGATAAAGCATTCATTGATTGGTGCTGCATTAGATACTAGTATCTTGTAAAGATGGATCGACTATGGAACTTAAAGAATATGTAAAACAGGATTGATGTTTATTTGAGACTTCTTATAGTGAAAGCGGTTTGGTTTCAAACTAAAGACTAACCATTTATTGAGTAACACTACACGCTGTATTTCTTCTTTCCGAAACTCTGCTGAACGGAGATCACGTCAATGGTATTCATTGTGATTAAAATTTTCACTATTAAGGATATAGGTCTCCAAGTGTGAATGTTATTTTGAATGCGTGTATGTATGTGTTGATTGTTGAATATGTAACACTGAAATACGCTGGATAAGAACGACTGAATATCTATGTAGAAAACAAGTTGTTCAAACATAGGTATAGTTGGCAGGGACAGTGATACAGCCGTGAGTGGCTACACTTGTCCACGCTTCCGTAGTTAGGGCAACGGCAGGTACTGTTTTGGGTACTGATATTTTGTTCTCCTTGCAAACTTCATACGACTTTATGAGGTAGTATTGAATTGTCGCAGTACATGGGACCTGGTAATTTGGGTTCAATGGTTCACAGAAAGCCCTGAAACCCTCCCTTTTAACAAGACTTAATGGTCGCATGTCCTTAACGCGCTTTTTGCGTAATACCTTCATACCATTTCCTGTCAACAGGTTTGCGACTTTTGCTATCAAACTTACCAAACTGCCCCAGCGTTGCTTGTTGAGCTGGTTTTCTGTCTACAGTGCTTATTGTGGGTGCTTACAGGACAAATGCTTGCGTAACTAAGGGAAACGCCACAAAGACGGCATTTCGTATTTTGGCCACTAAATCAAGATAAAAATGCGTCCAGACATTGGATTTTTTCTCACGATCATCCATCTTGATTGCATGAGATGTTTAGAGGTATCTCCCCTGCGAGTCCTCGAGTCCATTCAATTGGACTCGAATCCTGCTTTACCCGACTCGGCCCCGAGTACCCGAGTACTCGTGAGAGCCCTAATGCACTTAGAACAATGCCCTTGATCATGGTGATTGTATTCAACTTGTTGACCAGTGTAAGTTATCCTATCCGTTTCTACCGGTACAACAGCTGGAAGCTTACATGACAGTCTTGCTTTTTAACAGAAAGTAGCATTACAAAAGGGGAATATTTTTTGCCAAATGGCTGTTATTGATAAAGTTACATTGGCATTTTAATTTCTACCACTTGTTCTCTCAAAACAAATATAACTTGTAAATGGCTTTAATATTTGTCCAACTGTCTGCAGCATTGATTATGGCGAATACAGTATACTGTTTATATTATAACACAGATTATTATAGTGAATACAGTTTACTGTTGATAGAGAGTGTATCATGGTGAATACAGTATATTTTATACAGAAGAAAGCATTTGATTTTCCTACTTCAGGCCATATCCACCCAAGAAACATATGCACTTTTAGCTCCAGTTCTGTGGTTCATCTTCCTTCAACAATGTTGGTGATATGTGATGTAATTCCTTTCAGGATGGAGTTGGAATTCAGATTGCCAAGAAGATTGATGAATTTATTGCAACAGGCAAACTCCAAAAGCTTGAAAAGGTATTAGTTGACTTCTATGCAGTACAAAGTTATAAACTCTTCAGTGAAAACCAAGTAAACCAAACCATGAATAATTGGCTGTTGAAAGAGATGACCCAAGAGATTAGAGCTTTAGAAGCTCATAAACCTTTGGACAATCACCTTTGCCGTACTATGTTTGTTATTGACTATCAGTTATATAACAACATTCAGTCCTGTCGTATGACTATAGTTAATATTTCTTGGACTGACTGTTTAAATGTAGTCAATTGAAAGAAATGGATGTTATATATATATTGACTGGAAGCAAAGAAATGGTATCATAATTGCTCTTATTCTGTGTCTGTAGACATGCTTTTTTTCTTTTACTTTTTTGATTTCACCATTTCAGATTCGTGCCAGTGACACAAATACAGCCATTAATGAACTGACAAAGGTCAACGGCATCGGGTAGGTATTTATGCATATCAATGTAAAATGTAACCTTCATCTTGAGAGAATAGGTACAATATATTATGACTCCTAAGAGGCTGCTAAAGTACCAATCAGCATCTGGGGCCATGTGATCGTATCATGTGGTGACCGGTGAGGATTGGTTGGCTACATTCTGAATTCATGGATATTTGCTGATGCTATCACCCACACAGGCTAATACCTGCTAATACAGGCCACCATTATGTAGCCATTGAATTTATGGGTATTCCATTTAACCACCTCAGTGGTCTAGTGGTTAGAGCATCTGTCCAGAGTCAGTGGTTCAACCATCAGGACTGTATCATTCAAGAAAAGGGTTAAAGATGGTACTCCTTATTGTCCTGCCTGGTGGTCAGTAGCCAGGACTGATTGGTTCTGAGTCTGTACTGTATGTGATTTCCATGATAGCATGGTATTTCAGTTAGCTGGCCCTATTAAACTGGTATTAGTCCATACTAATGAAAGCAGACATTTTCATGTGCTCTATAAGTGACCTATTCCATTTACATTCAAGATTGTGTTCTTTGTGAACTCATACTGTAATCATAGTTATTTTGGCGTGGGATTAATTTTCACACTTTTAGCACAAAAAGATCATGCATCAATAATCATACCAAGCGAAATATTCATGGTCAAGTCATGACAAATACTCAAGTAGTAACAACATGCAATTTGTTTAATGCAGCCAATCAACAATTTGACCATGTAAACAACGCGTGTTCATAAACAACAAACACTACTTCATGATTTCTATGTTCAAATATCGTATGTACTAGTATACACTCTTCCTTAATTCGTTGTCAGTTGATCTCGCACATGGGACAGGTGTTGTCATGTTGACACAAGTATAATCCCAGCTCTCTCTGTGATTGTTTTTAGTAAACACAATTCAATTATGGCGACTAGCTTTGATCATTGCATGTCTGTCGGCAGTGAAAACTTTCTGATAGATACCATCACTGAGGTGTTTGAAATGCGCGAAAAAACAACTGCGCTAACAGGTCTTCTGTGAACTCTCCACGAACATTGCACCCTGTGAAAATATATACGATTACAGTAGTCTGCAATGTCAAATACTATTTCAAAATTAGTTTGTTGTCACATACACGGTATTTCTGTAATCAGTAATCCTGAATAGTGGTAGATTATCTTTCCAATTCGCAATGGAATTTGAATATTTTGGGGCATTTATGACAGTGTCAATGAAAAAATTGTGTGTGTCTGTCAGGGTTACTCAGTATGCAATTACTTTTTACAGTTGTACCTTCAAAAATAAAAAAGATATTGGAGCCATTCATTTTTCATTGTTCTGAGCACTATATCCATGCTCATTGGTTTCCGATGTGTGAAGCCCATTTCTGGTGTCCCTCGATGTGATATTGCTGGAATATTGCTAAAAGCGGCGTAAAACTGAACTCACTCACTCACTCACTCACTCACTCACTCACTCATTGGTTTCCGAACCATGAAGATCCGGGATAGAATTGATCTTCAGTAACCTGTTTGCCATAATACAAACAGGATTGGGTGGTCATGCTCACTGACTTGTATCCTAATTGTGTAGATCGATGCTCATGCATCTGGATCTTGGTTGGTCACTGGATTGTCTGGTCCAGATTCGATTATTTACAGACTGCCACCATATAGCTGGAATATTGCTGAGTGTGGCAAAAAGCTGAACTCGCTCACTCACTCATTGTTTCACCAAAGCAGTAAACATCTAAAACCTGGATCACTTCAGGCTTTCCTCCTTCATTAAGCTGACGATATGACTGGAATACTGTTTGCACTCACATGTTTAACATGGTTTATCTCACTGAATGTATGACATCAAAGTACTCACGTCAGTTTTTGTAATTGTTTTTGTTGAACTTTGAAGCTGTTGAAGTAAATATAATTTATATAGCCAGTGTAAATCTCTTTAAAGAGTAGGTACAGCTGTCGATATTGTAAATCGATTTGACATCATTTTTATTCTGCTTTGGCACGATGAATGATATGGTTAACAGAACCCATGTCAGTTATAGTAGGTCAAGTGCCATGGAAAATATAGTATTAGTTTCTGGTCAAACTTCAGCTAGACTTTGTCATTTCCCTATGGCTTTACATGTCTGGATTCTTGACATTGTTACTCTTCCATAACTTAAAAATGAAACGAACAACTTTATGGATGACAACTTCTTATTTATTGCATAAAGCGACTTTTCGATGTAGATTCTTACATCGTTATCAAGCTAAAAGTGAATACAACCAGATGTAGAGTGGTATATATACACAGTATGTTTTGACAACAGTAGATTAACATTAACAACAACATGTACTTGAACATAATTATGAGAGGCCAGTAGGAGACTAAGAACAACAAATGAGACTGGGAACAAAGCCAATAAACAAGGGTGATTAAGTTGTAATAATTAGCTAATTGGATGCTTTATAGAGTCTATAGTTTGATTAGTTCTTCATTGGCCGATGGTATGTAGTATCCTTGGTCTCTGTTGATCAAAGGTTTGTGGCGGCGGATTTCGATGGCTTCCAAGAGTTTTCTGTTTGTGAAGTCCTGATTCTTGGTTGATAGGATTTCAAATTTGTAGAAACTATTGTGCAGTTTGCATGTGACAACATTCTCTCATGTCAGATTGACTGCTGTATCAATCTTGTGTACAAACAACCCTTGTGTTTGACTGTCTGATACATGCTCCTGTTTTACCTTGCAATGGGTCTTTGAATGGCATTTAGAAGTGATACACATAAAGGGTGAACATTTATTGATGCCAACCTCTGTAATATACTAGCCACATAAAGAAACTGTGCATTGTCAAAATATTATCCCAGTTGATAAGGACGATAACAATGTCAAAGGTACATATAAACTTTAATGGAGGGATCATGAGACCATAATAAGTCGGGAGAATTTCAATTGAAAAGTCAATCACAATGACGTCACGAGTCCACAAGTGGAACAGGGGTCAAACGACCATGTCACAAGCTCAATAACGGGTATGTCCACCATCGGCATTGAGAACAGCAGTGCATCGACGACGCACAGAGCCTATCAAACGTGCAAGGAAGGCTTGTGGGATGTCACGCCAGATTCTCTTAAGTTCTGTTGCAAGGTCAAGGACGTTATCTGGCGGTTGAGGAAGACGGCGTAGACGTCGATCCATCTCGTCCGAAACATGCTCTATCGGGAGAGGTCCGGTGAATTTGCAGGCCAAGGCAGTAAGTCAACGTTGTGGTGTTGCAAGAAATCCATAGCAACCCTTGCATTATGAGGCGGGCATTATCCTGTTGGAATGTTAACCCCGGGCCATGACGTTGCAGAAAAGGAATTGCCACAGGTCGAAGAATCTGATCCCTGTAGCCCACACCAGTTAAGTTGCCCTGAACAATCACCAAAGGAGTTCTTTAGCGTCCTGTTATTCCACACCAAATCATCACGGAACCACCAAAGCGATTCCATTCCAAGACACAGGCCTGTGCATAACGTTCTCCCACGCGTCTATAGGCACGTTGACGTCCATCACCATGGGAAATGTTAAACCTGGACTCATCTGTCAAAACAACATTTCTCCACCCAAACAAGGGTCAGCAGACATGATTTCGGCACCACATTCGGCGAGCTTGTCGATGACGTTGTGTCAGGATAGGCCGTATGGCGGGACGTCATGGTCTGATCCCGTGATGACGTAAACGTTGTCGAACTGTGTTGGGGTATATACGGCGAAGTCCTGGGATGGTTCGGGCAGTCATCACTGCAGTCTGAAACCTGTGGCGAAGATGGGTCACCCTTATCCATCTGTCCTGTCTTGGCGTTGTTACACGTGGATGTCCAGAACGTGACCGATCGATGACGTCATTTGTGTTCTGGTAGCGTCTCACCAGTGCAGAAATGGTGTTCCCGGTGGCAGTGGAAATGTGCAGCCACTTGTCGTTGAGACATTCCCCCATGGACTATCCCAATGGCACCGTTTAATTTTTTGAACGATCACAAGGGCAGGGGTTGAGCTTTCCAAAGTGACAGTATTGTGTGGCATTCATTTGCTCTGTTTCTCTTTCCCGGAATGCACGTGCAACGACGTATTGCACGTCTCAAGGACGAACCCATTGACATCACGGAACGTGGGCACGTGCATGCATGTTGGATACATGTCACTAATCTCTGAGTAGATATCCTTATGTGTCTACACAGGTTTAATAAATTTAGATTTTAAGTTTTTGTATGCACAGTTTCTTTATGTGCCTAGTATATGAGGGACCTGCAATTTCAGAGTACATGTATATTCTTACTTCACCTGATGAAGGATTAAGAATAAGCTTTGAAATGTTGTGTCCTTCATATTACAAAAGTTGACATCCATAAATTTTCACCCCTTAGGTATAAATACTGCTTTGTTCAATAAACCATGTCAGATGGTGTACATGTATTTAACCTGCTTATGTTTTGTATAGTGTGTTTCGGCTTTGAACCGAAAGGCCGAAGGTTTGTATGCTTAAAACAGTTTATGGGTTTTAAGATTAGCTTGATATTCAATTTGTATTCTTTGGTTGTTTATTTAGTGATATGTTATGAATGATTTATTTGTTTCTTGAAATTTATATTATTAACTTGATATACCTTATATTAAAGGAGAATCGATATGTAACTTTCAGTGGCAGGAGAACACACCTTGCAAAAACATGAAAACAGGTGACTTTCTTGTATCAAATGTTGACAGAAATGGATCTGTGGACGTATTCAGTATTGATTGTTAATTTATTGCATAATAGACAACAATCAACATTATTGAAAAAATGTGAGTGCATATTGTTTTTGAAATGTGCATATAATATATTAATGAAATGGAGTGGATTGGAAAACAAGCCTGTGGCTTATATCAAGTCTTACATAGTTGTGTTTAACAACCTGCTGTTATGCATCCTGTAAATGAAGCATGATGTATCACTAAACACTCAGTCATGGATACAACCCACCTATT